TCTATATATAATTAATATTGGAATCAATATATTATATATCTTTTATTTTACATAATTTTATTAAAACAACTATTTTCAGGACTTTTTTTATAGAGAAATCAAACTATGAACTGTATAAAATAAATCTAAAAAACTTGAACAAGTCAAATGAAAAAATAACAAATCAATCAGACTCTTAGAATGGTCATAATACTAACTATTATTGTCACTTTATGCAATCACATGTAGAAAAAAAGAGTTTTAATGAGGTTTTTAACCAATGTTGCAAATGAGTATATTAAGAACTAATATAAGCAAATTGCAAAAATATTTAACAATTATATCAATGTAAGTAACAACACAATGTTTGCTTGGTGAATATAAATATTTTATGAGAATTTATGTAGAAGATAAATTGATATGTATTGTGATAAAACAATTCTCTTAATACACCTCATAATTATAATCAATATTTTCACATATTTTTTTATGATTTTGAACCAATTACAAAGTTTGATATATAAGACTTATTATATATATATATATATATATATGTTAAAAGTTTAACCAATAATGATAAGTTAGATTCATATGTCAAAGGTAATATTGATTATTATTAGTTTAATATATAAATGTGATCATCGACTCATTTAGTTAACTTCAATAAATTTTAAAATGTATACATACACACACTATCCTGATCAACTTCACGTCTGACCTACTCCAGTCACCATCTTTGATGGTTTGAAATATTATCCGGTCATCTTCTCTGACCTAAATCAAAATCAAACCTGAAACCCAAATTCAAAACCAGATCAAAAATCAACATAAATCAAATCTAAAACCCAAACCAAAACCTGCATTCAACCTAAATCATACTTAAAACCAAAACTTAAACAATACCCAAACGTTTACACCACCCTCTTTGTTTGACCCAACAACATGTACCACCCCTAAATTTATAAGATATCAAATAATTTTAAAGTTTCAAATCTTTTAAATAAGAACGACTTTAATAACATGATATATAAAATTTACAAAGGAAGGAAAACAAGACACATACCAGAGTTCTAAACAGGACTATCTAATTCCCATACGGAATTAGAACAAGTTATATAACTAAAACCATCGAATCTGCTATCTTCAAAGCCGAATGACGCCTCTAAGCCACTCTATCGAAACCTCTACAAATCTCCATATGCCGCTCAGATTCCATTAAGACTCGATATATATGTCGAAAAGAAAAAATTGTTAGGCTTAATGTCTAGTGAGATAAAATATTTTTATCATATAAAGATAAAAAAAGTTAAACCATACAATTTTCTTTACATATAACTCCTTTATTAAAGTCATAAATCAAAATGGAACATCTTCGTAAAGCCCATTATTTTCCAAATAAAATTACTTGTTTTAGTTTGATAAACAACATCCAACTCACCAAAAACATGCGCAAAGCGAATTCTCCAAACACAAGATATATAGATGATATTCCATCAAATTTGGATGGAACACAAAAGTAAGCTACTTATCGACATTCTTGAATTTCACCTCAGCCACAAATCCCTCTATACTATTTCATTGAGTACCATCGTAAGACTCCCAAAATGACCCTAGTGTCCACTCGACCTCTAGATGAATCTCACCACAAATGTCACTGTTCTTTGTATAAGACAAAACAAGCACCACTAGAAGACCTAGCCCCGTATACGAATCAATAGAGTACCACCACAGGCTACAAGTTTTTTATACGGCCCAAATAGGGTACCACCGCAAGCTCTCAGACCATGACCTGAGAACCACTCACTCGATTTAAGTGTAGACATCAAACTCCACACCTAACAACAAGACAGACTCATAGGCCTATGGATCCATTGCACTATAATAAAAAAATTACATGACTCCAATTGAATGAATAACGCACTCAAAACATATAATATCCAACAAGTATGCAATAAATGCATTATAACGTCTAAAGCCCCACATTAAGCTATTAAATCTGGACAAATGTCACAAACACTCATTTGAGTTGAAATCAAACACTACGACAAAATTGATTTTATAGAATACCCCCAGTCTTTAAACGTCCCAATACACCGTTTTATAAGACTTAATTATAGGACCAAAATATAAAGCGTGATATCTAAAAGTGTTGTAATAAGTTTATATGATGCTTTTGGGCGTGTTAACAAGTTTTTTAGGACGTTTTTATACAAAATGTCACATTAGCAACTTTATAGGACAATTTTGAGAAAGTGTCCTATAAATTCATTTTTTTATAGGACACTTGTTTTTATAGGACAGTTTTTCAAATAGTGTTCTATAAAGTTGCTGATAGGACGCTTTAATTAAAAGTGTCCTAAAAAACTTCTTACGATGTCAAAAAACGTCATATAAACTTATTACCACGCCTTTAGATAGGACACTTTATTTTTTTGGTCCTATAAATTAAGTCTTATAAAGAAGTCTATTAGGACGCTTAAAAATTAGGAGTGTCCTATAAACACAATTTTGTTGAAGTGAAACCAAAAGGCCTCATAAAACACTTGACTACTAAATAAAATCAATGTAAACCACAAAGCCGAACAAACATGTTTTCCAAATGTTGAAGAAGCACAGGACACCTATAACATGAAATAGATCCAAAACCGCATTGTTCATACTTTTGAATTTTCCACCAAGCCAATGAAGGCGTCTATCAAAGAATTACCCCTCATAATCAAAAGGGCTAATATGGCACTACCAAAAGTTCATAAGTTGGGTAAAACCCCAAAACAACATTTACTCAAAACAAAGTTAATAAACCCTTTAACTTGTTCAACAACTCAAGTGAAATCATTATTAGTCCAAGTTACCTTTTTCGGGAATCAAAACAATATTTTTCCCCAAATATACAAGAAATCACATTTGACGAAATAAATATCTATTGGTGTTTCAAACACCCAATAAAAACATTATGAACAATCTTTAAAGATTTTATACCCCAAATATGCCCAAATGCACAAAATTACAAAACTCATGAAATATGGAATAAACTAAAGGAAATGCATCCAAAATTCAAAATAGAGATATTTTGATATGTATATAGATTTGCAGAGCAATTAGAACTCACCTTATTAGATTTATGTTCTTCCAAGACCCAAAATTGGACTTCAAGCTTCTCAAGAACTCAAACTAGAGAGAAAATGATGGAAAAGTGTTGGGGTGAAGAAATGAGGGAACCCCCCCCCCCCCCAAAAAAAAAGAATCGAGCACTTTAGGGCCTAAGGACCTTAATGCGGCTTTTCTAGATTATTAGAAAGTCGCACGGAAAGGCGTTCACACAGAAAGTTGCATTGGTCTCTGTTCATGTAATTTCTTTGTTTTTCATGCCTGATTCGCTTCTAGATGGTTTATATATATATATATATATATATATATATATCATATTAGAACGTAAACAAAAGCCTCCAAAAATCACGGGTGTATACAATTTTTCCCACCTTAAAAATGATTTTGTCTTGGAAATCTAGACTGGAAACAATTCTTCATTTACACAACTCAAGATCCCATAGGGCTTTGAAATGTTTTTAACAAAAACAAATTCTCCTGATCATCATGCCATGCCACTTTTTGCATTAAACTACCACCCGACCCGACGGTTCTATCAGTCGGTCAAAAAGAGAGATGATTAAGAGTAATGGTAGGTCTTACGAAGGTGTTAGGTGGAGGAAATTAAAAACCATATATAATTATTAAAATTTCACCACCTCTTCCCTGTAAATCTAACCATCTCCGTATGACTCTCGATATTTATGTATGTCGTCATATATAGATGATTCTTGATTTCTTGTTTCGATTTAAATATAGGGGTTCGATCAGTGGGTTTTGAATGTTGATGAACATCAGCTATGTAATTCAAATGCCTTGGGTAACAAGGATGGGGTTGCTTCATGCAAGTTCAGCCATTAAAACTTGAATATGAACAGACCTTTAACAAACAAGGAACAACCTTCCATATCCACACCTTATCTTCGATCAGGTTTCATCAGCATCTATTTTGCTTACACACATGCATTCATTGCTTTCATGGCAACCTTTTTTTTGTGACAACCGATTTAATCTTTGCTTTCTTTTTTTATTTATATTTGATTTAGGTTTTGATTCTGGGTTCGATAATATTTGATAACATAATTTCTAGAATGAAATTGTATTAAAAGTGTTGTTGATTTTATTTATGTATGAGGTTGTTTATATAGAGAAGATCAATATTCAATAAATAAATAAAAAAGGAAAATAAAAGAACACCATCAAGATGAAAGAGAATGATGAAAAGACTTAAATGCCTATGCAGTCAGCGGAGATGGTGGATGGTGGTTTGGTTAAAGGACTATATGTGGTCTATTGATCATCTCTCTCAGTGATTTGATGATAATTCCTTTTCACCTATACGTTGTATTTATGTTTCTGTATTTTCAGTTCCAGCGATCTTCACTGAGTATGTTCAGTAATCGCTGAAAAACTTGGTTTGTAAATCTATCAGAGACAACAATACTTCAAGAAGACAACACTCACACCAAAGAACCTTCAGCAAACGTCGAAGACTGAAACTGAAGATTAGAGACCGGTGAGTACGTGATCTGAAGCGGTATTCAGTGATTACAAGTCTGTCTACATATGTGTGAAGACTGCTCAAACTTCAGCGAATGATGATGAGACCTTCAGGTCATTCCAGCATTCAGCGATCAATGGAAGCTTGCTTATTCCAGCATTCAGCGATCAATGGAAGCTTGCTTAGCACGATTGTTGTTGTCTTGTCCTTATGCACACAAAGGACAAAACCCATACCCTTACAAAAGTTAGTACGGTATGGAGCCGACTAGTCGACTCTTTGTCCACCAACTTTAGGTAAGGATGTCTGCTCAGAAATAGTGCTTTTGTACTACTCACTGTAACAAAGGACAAACCTTCCTCTTAAGGCTTGACACGCACTCTAAACCTACCATATTGCATTAAATGGACATTTAATGCACTGGGTATAAATAGAAGTGTTTCTTCTCCATGCAGAGAGTGCGCATTTCTCTCTCTAACCTAATTCTTACTTCAAGCATCTTCTAGCTTAAAGTAAAGGATCTTTCTTTTAGCAACTTCTTTTCTTGTAATTGCTAAAGCATTGTGTGTAACCAAAGATTGTTTAGATAGATTTTTATTACCTTATCTCTCCACAAACAATCTTGAAAAATCTATATTGATCTTCTCTATCAATATATATTTTAAATTTGAAAATATTGTGTTTGTATTCATCCCCCCTTCTACAAACTGTTTCTCTTCTTGTAGACCCTTACGGGACCAACAAGTGGTATCAGAGCAGTGTTTTCTTTATTTTCTTGTGTTTGGCTATTTTTCTGTATTAGTTTATCTCTTCTTAGATAACTTTACTGCTTACAAATGGCTTTACAAATTGCAAACACACACACACAAAAGATAATGGCTCTCTTGCCAAACCTCGCTGGTTTGTCCGTGACAACTTTAGTCTCTCGAAGAACCGGATGTCCCTCTTTCTGGAAGGTGTGGATCCTGAAATTCCACATTACATAGAAAATGGACCATATATTCCATTTGCTATTGTTCCGGTTGTTCCAGCAACAGCTACGACTGCCGTGATTCCTGAACGGCAGATTCCAAAGCATCCACATCAGTGGAGCAATGAGGACAAGAAGAAGATAGCTATAGACACGCGTGCTCGGTCTATAATAGCTATGTCTCTTCCTAATGAGATGTGTCACTCAGTGATGAAACTCAAAACTTCAAAATCCGTATGGGATACACTTTGTGTCCAATATGAAGGAACCACTCAGGTTCAGGAGACTAGAAAGATCAATCTAGTAAGACAATATGAAAGCTTTCTCTGTGGAAAGTCTGAGACGCTGTCTAAAGTACATCAAAGATTTAATTGCCTTCTTATTGATCTTAGGGCTGTCGGCAGAGAATATTCTAATTCTGAAACCTTGACTAAGTTTCTAGAATGCCTTCCTGAGTCTTGGGACACCTTTTCTATTTGTCTCAAGATGTCAAATGACATGTCCACTCTTTCTCTTTCTACCTTATACGGGATTCTGCTCAACCATGAGCAATCTCGTCAACTGAAAAGAAATCTTGTAAAAGARTCCAGGGAAATGAAAAGCTCTCCTTTAGCTTTGATCTCTGAAGCCTCTTCAGTTGAAACTTCTACCCATTTTGTTTCTTCTCTTCCTCCCGTGGTCATCACGGAGATAGATTCTTCTGAGGACATTCTAGAATCTGATTTAACAGATTTTGATGAGTCCCTAACACTCCTGACTAAGTCATTTAGGAGGTTTTTCAGCAAGAGCAATTTCCGCAGATATCCTCAGCTATCCTTCAGGGAGAAGCCAAAGTTTGAAAGAATAGACAAGGCTTCAGCTGTCTGCTATAACTGTCACCGGCCTGGACATTTTGCAAGTGAATGTAGATCAAAGAAGACTACGACGCCATCTTATAAAGCTCCCTCCTCCTTCAGGACCAAAGATGAAAAATACTTAAAACTGAAGGAGAAATACAAGAAGATGAAGAACAACCAGCGAAAGGCTAAAGGCCTTATTGCTGAAGAGCATGACTGGGCTGAATCATCTGATGAATCATCTTCAGACGAAGAGGATAAAGCCTATGTTTGCTTGATGGCCATTGATGCTGATGAAGGATCTTCTGAAGCATCTACCTCCTCTGAACCATCTGCTTCTTCTACTCAGGTATGCTTCCTGAATGAACCCTCTTCTAGTCTTTCTGCACTGGATACGCTGACGGTTGACCTTTACAATGCCCTCAATGGCAAATCAAAAGCTGAAATGCTTAACGTTGATCTTCAAGAGCAATTGAAGATTTGTCACTCTAAGATCAAAGAACTGACCTCTGCTGATGAAAATCTTAAAGATCATGTCATTGTAAACCAAGCCATCACTGTTGAACGTGAGAAAGCTGTCGCTGAGCGTGAGCGAGCAATCGCTGAACTCAAGGCTGAGAAAGCTACCATTGAAGGGTGGTGCAAAGCTTCCGTCAAAGCCTCTAAGATCATTAACGCTCAGATTCCGGCCAAGAAAACGATTGGTCTAGGATTCTCCTATGATCAGGAATAATGTGTTAAAGATAGGTCCATGCTTAAATTTGGTACCTTTGTCTCTTCTATTCCTAACACTTCTTTCTCTCAGTCCTCTTCCTTTACTGAGAGTTATCTTGAAGGAACTCCTTTGAGTTCTGGGTTCAAAGACAAAGGTAAATCCACTGTCACAACATCCCTTTCTAAGAAGTCTAACAAGTCTAATAGATCTAAATCTATTCCTTCAACTTGTAAAACTTCTTCTTATTCTTCAGGGACTAGGAAATCTGAATCGCATCAGAAATCTAAGTCACAGCTCAAGGTGAACTTTTCACCTAAGGAATCCAATTCCTCAAAGGTTCCTCCAAGAATCAATCAGAAGGGAATCCTTAGAGCTGGTCCCACTTCTAGTCAGATACTTCCTGGCACTAAAGCTACTCCTAGTTTTAGGAAGTGTAAACACTGTGGTGAAAGAACACATGTTTCCAGTAAGTGTCCTTCTACCGCCAAAGCTGGTTCACCAGCTTTGAGTAAGAAAGTAACCAAGGCTGAAAAATCAACTAAAGTGAAATCATCCACGAAGGCTGCTCCTGCAGTCAAGGTGAAGAAAACCATTAAAGCCTTTTCTTCAGGCTCAACGAAGACAACTCCTGCTGAAAAATCTTCACTATCAGACGTTGTAATCCCTACCACTGAAGTCTCTTCGTCAGACTCAGTGAAGACCTCCACTGAAACTACCTTGGTAGTATCAAGGGTTGTTCCTCTTTCCATTCAAACATCTTCAGGTTTAATGATGCCATCTTCTGATAATGATTCGTCATTATCAGATGATGAAGCCTCTAACAAAGCTGGACCCAAATAGCTGGGTACCAATAGCAATTCTTATTTTGTTTCCTTGCTCAGGTTGTTAAAGGCATATGGTATCTGGACAGTTGTTGTTAAAGACATATGACTTGAGATATATTTCTTCTATTTCACTTCAAGGAAGAAAGAGGACTTTCTGTAATCTTCGGTGGAAATGGAAAAGGCTATACTAAAGGCTTTGGTATATTATCCAACGGTACAACAACTTTCAAACGCATTGCATACGTTGAAGGACTGAAGCATAATTTTCTTAGCATCAGCCAACTATGTGATAAAGATTATATACTTAAATTCTCAAAGAATTTTTGTCATGTTCTCGACAAAGATGATAAGGTTGCTCTAACCGGTTCTCGTTCTAGAGAATGTTTATATCATCACACTACAAAAATGCAGAGTATCAGCGAGGGAAAAATCCCTCGCAAATCCCTCGCTGAAAGGGCAATCCGTCGCTGATACTCCGTCGGTCAAATAGTCGTAGGTAATACTATCAGCGACAGATATCAGCGACGGATTTGCGAGAGACACTTTCAGCGACGGATCAGCGACGGATAGTTTCAGCAACGGATCAGCGATGGATCTGCGAGGGAACCTTCAGCGACGGATCTGCAAGGGAACCTTCAGCGACAGATCTGCGACGGAACCTTCAGCGACGGATCTGCAACGAAAACTTCAGCGACGGATCTACGACGGAACCTTCAGCGACGGATCTGCGACGGAATTTTCGAGGACTTTCAGCGACGGATTTTCCCTCGCTAATCTGTCGCTAATTTGTATAAATTCAAAAAATAAATTTTTTGAAATTGGATAATTCCTGTATTTATTTATAAAAATAACCTGAAAATATTTAACAAACAAAAACTGTAAACAAATTTTAATAACTAATTCATACGATTTAAAATATGGATTCATAAAATTTAAAATATTCAATTCATACAATTTAATATTTGAATACATATAATCTAACTTTCGGGAGTTGGGGGAGTTGGGAAAACGTATC